TATATATATATCAGCCATCATATTACACTCACCTTTGACGATGACAAAAAACGATTACTACACACAAGCAGATAATGAAACTAAACTTACTTATATATTGTCTCAAATGGGTGCATTAAAATAGACTGGTACAGTCACATGTTAAAACTTTGGCAGAGGCAAAAGGCAGCCTCATATTGGTTCAACTGGTATTGGTTCATAGTGGCTTATTCTTTGTTTTCGTGCATGTCAATTTCACGAAACCATTAAAACGGCACAGTAAAAATGTCAAATTCGAGCACGAATCATTCTGTATCGTTTCAAAATCATTATGGGATATTAAAGTGTTCATTAAACTACAGTGTCACATTTAACGTACCCTTGAAAATGACCGAGAATGAGCACTGTAAAACCCTTTATGGACACCATCGACACGTCAATGTTAGAACAGTAGTCATTTAAGGTGGAACAATAAGTGGCAGTAACTAGCTAAAAAGGAACTGCAACGCCTCACGAATCACCTTTTGAGATATAGCAAGGTGTTACTAGAATTGCCCGATTGATGATATTCGCGTTTTGATTGGCAAATGATTGAAAACGATCGTGTGTGATCCTCGTGTGATGAGATCTGCACGTTGCTAATTCCTGCCATGTGCTTCTCCATTATGTTTCCAAATGCTGGTGCCCTGTTTGCAGTTTATTGTCGGTGTCGAAATAAATTAGTAAATTAACTTAACAAAGTGGCTGGAAACCAGAGAACAGCTGAAGTTAAATTTACTATACAGCTGTAAGAACTCTGCTAACTTAGCGACTACATAATATCAAATACTTTCTACTGAAAACATATTTATCAAAGACTCACCAACTGAACGATACCCCAATACAGCAATCTTTCTGTATTTCGGTTGAGGCATTATTTGAGAATAACCTTTGAACGTCGAAACCAAAGAACTGGGAGCTAAGAAAGAAATAGTTTATCAAACATTAGCGGTCTATCACGTGATAACAACAAACTTTTCCACGCCCTCCAGAAAGACCTTCATCATTGTTTCTGTCGCATAAAATAAAACTTTACGGTTTGTGTACGTCGTACAGTCAAAAATATTTTTTCTTTGGAAGTAAAACTTTAAGTATACAGTGACGTCTTAAAACTACGACGAATGAACCTAAAATGCTTATTCACTGCAGTAGCGCGTCTTCTACTTCTAGGTTATATTGCGGTTGGCAAACCAACTGTTGGTGCATTTCGCCACCTACTGGGACGGAGTGTTAAGCGTTACTGTAGAAGGGGAAAAAAGAAAAAAAAGCTATATTCTGTAATGCAAAGTTATTTATTTAATATATATATATAAATTAATAATGTCTACCGGGTCCACATGTCATGCAAAATATAATTACAGGGTTGCAAATAAGCATTATAAGTTTTAAATAAAATAAGCATAAGTTTTAACAACAAAAATAATAATAACCAGTTTCTGGCACTGTTGGATCATTTATTTATTTATTTTCTTTACTTACAAATGACAACATGACATGTAAAGGCCAAGTATGGTAACCCATACCTGGGATTTTCCCTCTGCATTTAACCCCCATCAAAGTGCATACACTCACAGCAGTGAGTGAGTAGTGAACACACACACACAAACACCATGAATCTGAAGCAGTAGGCCCAGGAGCAATTGAGGATTCGGCATCTCAGTTGTGGGTATTGAGGGTGGAAGAGGGTATGTGAGGGTGTTAATTCTCTCCACCCACCAATATTTCCTGCTAACACTGGGAATGGGGGGAACAAGTCTGACTCTCCAACCATTAGGCCACAACTGCCCACCTCCAGTTTGTCATGAATGACTGTGCAGTGTGAAGTCAAGCTGAGTGCTGATTACCTTGATGCAGCCAGATCAGAGCTGCATTATCAGAAAAATTTGCAGGTGGTTGAGGCAGACCGGAAGCTGAGGCATAACCTAAGGTTGAAGAACCTTGCAAACAAGAGCGCTTAGGGGAAGTGAATGAACAGTGCTCTCTTCCACACTCAATACCCACAACTCAGCTTGATGCCACACTCAGCACAGTCATTCATGAAGAAATGGTGGTTGCAGTGGGTAAATACGCAAAGAAAAGAAGTTAAATAAATAAATCATTGCTAGTTTTACTTGATCTTAGTGCTGCGTTCGACACTATAGATCATGACATACTCATAGATCGATTACAAAACTATACAGTTATTCAAGGGCAGGCTTTAAGATGGTTTAGATTAGTTTCCACTGTTAAGCTGATGATACTCAACTATATAACTCAACAAGACCAAATGAAACTTCTAAATTCTCTAAGCTAACAGAGTGTGTTAAAAATGTAAAAGATTGGATGACCAATAATTTTCTTCTATTAAATTCGGATAAGACGGAGATATTACCTATTGGACCAAAAAACAGTACACAGAATCTCTTGGATTACAATTTGCAACTAGACGGATGTACCGTTACTTCCTCTACAGTCAAAAATCTGGGTGTTATATTAGATAGCTGTCATGACTTCGGTCTCATCTGCTGTGTTTTGACTTTTTCTGTGTCTGTGTGCTTGGTCTCTGAGCACATGGGTTTTGTTTTGACAGCTCACCATGTGCTCCGCTGTCTGTGTGACGTTTTCCCCTCCCACTCGTTATCCTTAATTCTCTTTTGTGTTTTCTGTCACACCTGTTGCCATTCATTCCTCATTAGCCCTCCCCTATTTTAGATCCTCGCGTGCTCAGTCTTTTGTCAGACCGTTGTTGTATGTTGTGCAATGCTTCGCTTGTGACCTTCCTGTCATGTTTGCGTTGTCTTGCCGTGTTGTGTCTTTTTAGCCCTGAGTGCTGTTTTGTTTTTGTTTTTGAAATTCTCCTTCTCATCCTGCCAGTCGAGATCTGTCCTACTACCTGCCCTGGCTATCTCTAGCTCTATCGAGATTCTGAGACATCGCCCTAGCCCCTTCCGGCACGCTAAACGCTATCATCGGGGAGCTCAGTGAGTCCTCAGTGCTGCGTCATGAACGACACTCTGGTCGGTGCAACTTTGATGCTGCGTCACAGATGACGCCAGGATCAGTCCCTGCTGAGAGGCTCTTTCCTGGACTTTGATTTGGGACTTCCTCTATTTTTGAGTTTCTGTTGATTTAAAAAAAAAAATGTTTCCCTATTGCTCAGTGAGAGCATAATAAACTTTTTCTGTTACCTGCAAACTGAATCCGTATTTTCCCTGACAGAACGGTCTGACCAGTGATGGATTCAGCAGGTGCAGACCAAGTCAGAGTCGCGTTAAGTCAGCAAGTCATTCTTCTGGGACAGCATTCCAGTCAGTTAACTGCCACTTCAAGGGAGGTTGAGTGCCTGACTGCCCAAGTAGCAAATCTCAATATCCAAATACAGTTACTCCAGCGGGAGATTTGGCCAGCAGATCACTTGCTACGTTTGGTCATTCTCCGTCTCATGCGCAGCCTGAACCTCCATGCTAATAGTCCGCCGCCATACGAGGGGGATCCCAAGTCCTGCTGGGCCTTCCTGTCCCAGTGCTCTTGTCGTCGCACTCCAGCCTCGCTGCTATGCTACAGAGGAGTCCCAAGTAGCATTTGTTATCACCCTCCTGAAAGGAAAGGCCCGGGACTGGACTACGGCTGTGTGGGACACTCGTGCTCCATTCTGTGCCACATTCAAGGATTTCAGAGCTGAGATGATCAAGCTGTTTGACTGCTCTGCTCAGGGCGATGAGGCAGCCTCACAGTTGGCACGGTTGAGTCAGGGCAGACGTTCAGTTACGGATTACTCTATCCAGTTCAGAACTCTGGTGGCCGCCTGTGACTGGAACGAGGCGGCTTTACATGCAAGGTTTCGGGAGGGGCTGGACGACGACATCCAGGATGAGATCGTTACTCACGAGCGGCCTCATGATTTTGACACCCTTGTGGAGCTGGCACTCCGTGTTGAGGGGCACCATCATCGTCGACGCCAGCGGTGGAGAGCTCAATCCTCATGGAGGTTGGAGGAGGGTGCCTCCAGTGCTGCTCCCACCTCCTCGTCCCTTCAATAGACCCAGAGCCCATGCAAGTGGGGCGCCTTCGCCTTACCCCTAAGGAGAAGCAGGATCGGTTGACTCGGGGACTTTGCCTGTACTGCGGGAAGCCAAGCCATCAGGCTATCCAGTGTCCTTTAAAAGCCGGAGCCCATCAGTAATCCGGGGGATCCTGGTGGGTGCTACTCCTTATCTCGACTCCCCCATCTCACGTACCCTGCTCGAAGTCTCTGTTCAGTATAAGGACACCTTCCATCCCTGTTCTGCACTGGTTGACTCGGGTGCTGAAGGCAACTTCCTGGATGCCTCTGTTGCTGCATTGTGGGGTATTCCTGCCATTCCACTTCCCTCTCCCATCTCTGTCCGCTCCCTTAATGGTGTTCTTATCTCCTCCATTACCCATTCCACTTCTTCCGTAAGTCTTATCATCTCTGGCAATTACCGTGAGGTGATTGAGCTGTACCTCCTAGATTCCCCGAGTGCTCCCGTTGTCCTGGCAATTCTGTGTTCTCTTGGAGTCAGTCTTGTCTTGTTTGGGTGCTGCCTTGTCTCCTGGCTCTGTGTCTTCTGTTTTTCAGGTTGAGGAGGTCGATCTCGCCAGGGTCCCGGAGGGGTACCGCGATCTTTGTCGGGTCTTCAGTAAGTCCCGGGCCACATCCTTACCACCTCATTGGCCGTATGACTGTGCCATCAATCTACTCCCAGGCACTTCTCCGCCCAAGGGTCGTCTGTATTCCCTATCCGGTCCTGAGAGGGAGGCCATGGACAAGTATATTCAGGAATCCTTAAATGCCGGCCTCATCCGACCCTCTTCCTCACCCGCTGGGGCTGGGTTCTTCTTCGTTAAGAAGGATGGCTCCCTGCGACCCTGCATTGACTACCGGGGCCTTAATGACATCACTATAAGAAACTGGTATCCTCTGCCTTTGATGTCGGCAGCCTTTGAGTTGCTACAGGGAGCCAGGGTCTTTACCAAGCTAGAACTCTGTAATGCCTACCATTTGATCCGTATACGTGAGGGGGATGAGTGGAAGACAGCTTTCAACACCCCAACGGGACACTTTGAATACCGGGTCCTACCCTTCGGGCTCACTAACGCCCCAGCTGTCTTCCAGGCCCTGGTGAACGATGTGTTGAGAGACATGGTGAACAGATTTGTCTTTGTGTACCTTGATGATATTCTCATGTTCTCTCCCTCTTTGCAGGCCCACACTCAACATGTCCGTCAGGTGCTACAACGGCTGCTGGAGAACCAGCTGTACGTCAAGGCGGAGAAGTGCGTGTTCCATGCCAAGTCTGTTTCGTTCTTGGGGCATATAATCTCGACGGAGGAGATCAAAGCTGATCCAGCTAAGGTAAGGGCCGTGGCTGAGTGGCCAACCCCTGACTCACAGAAGGCATTGCAGCGGTTCTTGGGGTTCGCCAACTTCTATAGGCGATTCATCCGGAACTTTAGCCTGGTTGCTGCACCCTTAACAGCACTCGCCTCACCTAAGGTACTGTTCAAATGGAATGTACAGGCTCAGGAGACCTTTGATGTTCTTAAGTCCTGTTTCATCTCTGCTTCTGTTCTTTGTCTCCCAGATCCTGAACGACAATTCATTGTTGAGGTGGATGCCTCTGATGTCGGTTCCCCAGAGATGGGAAGGTGCACCCCTGTGCCTTTTCTCACCGTCTGAGCCCTGCTGAGTGGAATTATGACCTAGGTAACGGGGAGCTGCTGGCAGTCAGGCTGGCTTTGGGGGAGTGGCATCACTGGTTGGAGGGAGCAGCATGGCCCTTCTTGGTCTGGACGGATCACAAGAATTTAGAGTACATCCGTTCGGCCAAGAGGTTGAATGCTCGCCAGGCCCGCTGGGCACTCTTTTTTTTTTTTTTTTTTTTTGGGCGGTTTAACTTCTCCCTCTTGTATCGGCCAGGCTCCAAGAATGTTAAGCCTGACACCCTTTCTCGTTTGTGTGAGGATCCTGGGGAGGATGCGGGCCCCGAAACCATTCTTTCCAGGGAGGTGGTGGTAGGGTCCCTTTCCTGGGATGTCGAGCAGCGGGTGGGGGAGGCTGTGTGTGTGTGTGGGGGGGGGGGTCCCAAGGGGGTGTCCAGGGGGTCGGTTGTTTGTGCCGGCTGCACTGCATCTTGAGTCCTTCGGTGGGGTCATGAGTCCAGAGTAGTCTGT